GGTCTGAGTGGACCAGCATCTTGTTGTATGTGCCCAGCATCATCTATGCCATCGTGATTGAGATCATGAACCGTCTCTATCGATATGCTGCTGAGTTTTTAACCTCCTGGGAGAATCATAGATTGGAATCTGCCTATCAGAATCACCTAATTCTGAAAGTTTTAGTGTTCAACTTTCTAAATTGCTTTGCCTCCCTCTTCTACATTGCCTTTGTCCTGAAGGATATGAAGCTTTTGCGCCAGAGTCTGGCCACTCTCCTGATTACCTCCCAGATCCTTAACCAAATTGTGGAATCTCTTCTTCCTTATTGGCTCCAAAGGAAGCATGGTGTGCAGGTAAAGAGGAAGCTTCAAGCTTTAAAGGCAGACGTTGATGCTACGTTATATGAACAAGTCATCCTGGAAAAAGAGATGGGAACTTATATGGGTACCTTCGATGATTACTTGGAGTTGTTCCTGCAGTTTGGTTATGTGAGCCTGTTCTCATGTGTTTATCCATTGGCAGCTGCCTTTGCCGTATTAAATAACTTCACTGAAGTCAATTCAGATGCCTTAAAAATGTGCAGGGTCTTCAAACGTCCATTCTCAGAACCTTCAGCCAGTATTGGTGTTTGGCAGTTGGCTTTTGAAACAATGAGTGTCATATCCGTGGTCACTAACTGTGTTCTGATTGGAATGTCACCTCAAGTGAATGCAGTCTTCCCAGAGTCAAAAGTGGACCTCATTTTGATTGTGGTAGCTGTGGAGCATGTGCTCCTGGCTTTGAAGTTTATACTTGCATTTGCTATACCTGATAAACCACGACATATCCAGATGAAACTGGCCCAATTGGAATTTGAATCTTTGGAGGCACTCAAGCAGCAGCAAATGAAGCTTGTGGCCGAGAACCTGAAGGAGGACCCAAGGGAAAGCAAGGAGAAAGAGCCCTGAGCATGCAGCGTGCCCCGCTGCCCTCCCACAGAGGCCTGTATCTACACCGCACCTGCCACTTGTGCGTGGGCAGGAAGGGTACCGGGCGGCAGCGTGAAACCTGAACCCACACTCAGTACTTGGCCAAATGAAGTGATGCTTCCCTCATGGCAAGCACCATTCTCACTCAGCAGTGTCCCAGCTCAGCATGGGCAGAAGAGAATAGCCAGGACCTTTGGCAGCTCTTGGCACCCAGCCCTGCTTGCTCCTTCCAGGTTCCTTCCCAGCCCTACAAGCCACTCCAGTGACCTGGCTTCACTCCAGACCACTGCTGTCCTTATGCCTCTCACCACAAAGGAGCTGCCAGCTCTCCATATTGCTCTTGCAGTGACGTTCATTCCTGACCCCATCAGGGACCTGTGGATGGGGGTAGGGTGTGTGCCTGCTGTTCTTCCAACAGGAGCCATCTAAAGAGGTGTTCCTGCCAAGCCTCAGTTGTGATGAAGGGGCACAGGAGGCAGTGTTGCCCACGCTTGGACCTCTTTTCTCTCTTTTGCAATAGTTCACAGACTCCTTGTCAACAAAAACAATAGTAAAAGCTATTAAAGGCAATGTACACCTCTCTGAAAAAAAAAAAAAAATTTCATATACTCTTTAACCTTTCTTAATTGACTTTCTTTTTCTGAGATATAATGATCAGTATGTCAATATCTATATCATTATTGATACTAATGCTAACAGTCTATTTATTATTTTCCTTCAATGTTATGATTTGAAAGGCATATTTGAACTCAAAATACAGGCTTATTCTATTTCTTTCAATATTTAAAGCTAATATTTAATTTTTAAACAAGCCTATTGCAGACAAACTATTCCTTCGGAGATAAATAACTGTAATATAAGCATATTTATTAATTTCTTACCATTTGCTTTTTTAAAAAGCTTTTCATACATTATCTCATGTCAGGATTTATTAGGTTATTATTATTAGCTCTATTTTACAAGTAATGTGCTGTGACAGAAAGAGATTAAGTAATTACCTGAAATCTCAATGAGTTAGAACCTTAATATAGACTTTATATTTATTCCTATAATTTTCATCCCTGGCTTCTTTGTTTTGGTATATTTCTGAGCCCATTTTTCTTCCTTTCATTTATTTTTATTTAAGCATAAAATATTTTACATAAACATACAATATATATTTTTATTTTGTATTTGCTTAAATAATTCAGAGTGACAACATGACACCTACTTTTATTTTTACAATTACAGAATGACGTGCAAGTAATAAAACCGTAACAATTGTATAAGTTGTGTCAAAGAAAACTAAAAGTGGGAATCAAGATGGCAGCTGAGTAGCAGCTTCTGTGTAACCAGGCGCAGTGAGAGTGGGGAGAGAAGACTCCAGGCATCTCTGGCCAGTGGGTTTTGCCCAGTGGCTGTCCTCTAGTGACCCACAAAGTCAGTGAGAGACTTCTGGGCCCCATGAGGAGGACAGAAGCAGTGGAAAACTGTCAAGTGGTGGGTTCCCGTTAGGTTGGAGGCTGCCTGCAGCTGTACCTATAGCAATAGCAAGACTTCAAGTAGGAAGAGCTTTGCCTGGGGGCTGTTTTGGTTTTTCTGGACTTGGGCATTCCATTGAACTGCCTTGGGAGACCTTGGGCCAGTGTGTGGATGACTTTGGGCACTGTCTGGGGCCCCTGACTGAGCTGCTGAGTCAGTAAGAAGCTAATGCTGTTCAGCTGTGGGCTGCCCACACAGCAACTGGAGAAGGCTGCCTCTGCCTGTTGCAGTGCGGGGATCAGCTGGGAGACTTTGGACAAGTAATCTAGTGACTGAGCTGCCCAAAAGCAGGGGAAGAGACACTGGGGAAGTGTGGAGATCCAAGTGTTTGGCAGATTAACAGCCTTGGCCCTTAGGGGCATTGAGGGAAACTGGATTTGGAGCACTAAATAAGAAGGTGGTCACAACAGGAGAGATCCCAGGGATAAGTGCTTTCCTTGGGAAACTTCTGCTTGGCCAACATTCACGGTCTGGCATGTCTTTTAAGTGGGCTGAGGAGACATTTGAGCTCCTAAGCCTGCAGGGTCTATGAAATCAGCTGAGGCCTCTAGTCTCCATCTTGTACAGCTGAATCAACATTGGTATTGACTTCTCATTCCTCAGAAGATCACCTGTTGCTAGGACAATATTTACCAAGATATATATACTATTTGTTTTTTTGGTTTGGGTTGTTTTTTTTTTTTTTAATTTTAACATTTTATTTTATTATTCTAGTGAGACAGGATACCTGAGAATGGTGGGGTCTGCGAGAACAGATCTTCTCAGGGAGACCACAAGGATGCACCTGCAGGGTACTCTCCACAGTGACTCAGCTCTTGGGAATTTGTAGACTTAACTTCCTGGAATCTGGAAATTTCCAAGTTCTGTGAAATCCTGTAGTTCTGTAGAGGCTGGACTAGCATTTCTTGCTTGATAGCTCCCGGCTGGTAAATAAAGCCCTTCCTCTTATAAACGTGGTGTTTGGGTGCTCTTTCTCTCCTTTCAGCCTTGTCTTCCTGCAATACTAGTTTAAATACAATCTTCCATTTTTGCCTTCTTTAATAATTAAAATTTCATTTTCCCCAGTGTTCTGTCCCTATTATTTATTTTTTTACCCCCAATTTTATCCTAGTAGGGTTTTTGCTTGTTTATTATGGTTTGATTTATAGTATTTTTGTCTTTCCTCTCTACCTGGTGGAAGTGGGGTACTGTGTCTGAGCTGGCTGGCAAAGAGCTGTTGACTTCAAGGGAATAACCCAACCTGGAACCCCCAGAAGTTGGGGGTCTTTAAGGGTGGCTCATAATACCCTACATACACTTATATTACTCCTGTTTCTTTCTCTTGGTGCCTTTCTTCTCTTTGTCATTACTTCCTTTTACTCACCCCCTTTTCTCTCTCTCTCTTTTTTAAATCTTTTTTCCCTTCTTGTTCCTTAATCTTCTAATCCTTCTGGTCTTACACCAAAAGGACTCATTAAAACTTTCAGCAGGGGTCCCAAGTGGTGGATTGAGTTGTGGAACTCCCAGGATCCTGTATCCTGCACTCTGAGGATGGTTCAAAGCTTACAGAGTCAGATACGGCATCCTTGCCCTCAGGCCCCCCAGTGATGAGTTGAGGGGGCTGGCTGTCCTCAGACATCTGGTGAAATGCTTGGGTGAGGGGAAACTATTGCTGTACTGAAGTCCTGCCACAGCATGGGGTCAGTCCCAGCAGCCACAGCCTTGGCCACTGGGTGGGAGACCTTCTCACACCTAATTCTGACAGACCTCCCTCCCCCTTCCCAGTTGTCTGTCTCAGTCAACTTGGTTTTTAGTCAGACATGGCAATTTCCTAGTATGTGAGTGGTCTGCAGAAAGATGTGCACTCTCTCTCCTATACTGGGGCACTCCTAGCCACACAAACTGCCTGCTTTTTTGCCTTCTCCTTCTTAGATTTTGAAGTTTCACTTTTCTGTTGCAGCCCTGTGTTCCCGCTTGGATAATGTAATCAAAATGTGATTGTCTATCTACAGTATTTTGGTTCTTTTAAGTGCGTAAGATGTGCTTGGAATGCTGCTACTCAGCCATCACACAGCTAGCACTCACCTGCTTGGCTTTCTTTGTATCTCATGAAGACAAGTTTTTAATTGGCCCCTTTGCATCATCTATATAGATAGCCAATATTAACATTTCTACTCTAACCATTTTTTAACCTATTCTGATTATAGGAGTTTTCTTTTCCTTGAATTCTCTAGCATTTAAATTCAAAAGTCTCTGCCTGTCTACAATTTTACTGACTCCCTCAAACATACATAACATTCTTAACATCTTAACGTAACATCTTCATAAAACACTTTGAACTTTAAAGTCTAAACTTTAAACATTCATGTATGCTTTTAAAAGTAAATTATAGTTTGAAAATGACCTGGAAACTTAAAGGATGAATTCCTATTTCTACCAAAGAGACAAAAGCTCAAAGCTCAGTGAGAAATTAAAGCAATGATGTTTTCCTGTGGTTCCTGTGGTTTCCTGTATTTGTAGAGGATTCTCCCTTCAGCCATTTTGGCTGTGGTTTATGCTTTACAGCTTCAAAACTATAACAACAGGTAATTAATTCCCAATTGTTATTCAATATTTCTTATAATTAAACATAAATTAAAGCTGTGTTAAAACAAAAAATAATCTTGGTATAAGCAACTTGTTTGAAACACCACAACTGCTATCTATTGCCTACCAGAACCCATTCTAAAAAGTTGTGATCTTATAATTATGGGAAAGACTCTAAATCTATATTTTAAATAAGAACTTTCAGGACATTGTGATGCAGATAGTATATAGAACTATTTTAGAGAACCACTGATTTCTTTTTTTTTTTTCCTAGTTTTTGGCCGGGTTTGAACCCACCACCTCCAGTGTATGGGGCTGGCACCCTACTCCTTTGAGCCACAGGTGCCACTCCAAAGAGCCACTGATTTCATCTAGCTAAATTTACTTGAGTTCTTTCTCAATTTTGTTTTGTAAATTTTCATTCTCTTGTCACAGGGCAATGAATTGTTTGAACCAAAATATTGATTCTGATTAGTATGCTAATGGTAATAACGTCCTATCTCGTACTTAGAAATGTGTGAGAAATATAAGGAAGGACTATGGAATGAGGCAGTGATTCTTAATTTTTGACATAGAAAAGCAAGTATATTAAAAGTACATATTATGGGCTCGGCGCCTATGGCTCAAATGGCTAAGGCGCCAGCCACATACACCT